GAGATTCAAATGTGCAACAAATTTTCGTAATTGAAGCAGCATGATTTCTTCACGCTTATGGTAAGAAAGTGATCTTTTCATCCTCACTGCAACTATGAACAATATCAACCTTTCACCACATTCACAAAAATAAAGTGCTGACTTTGAAATATTTTAAAATAAGAGCAGTATGATTGAGCCATCTAGGTTATAGCTGAAAACATAATATGCAATAGAAGCTTTCTGAGGAAATTACAGTCTTAAGCATTAGTATTTTTTCTGTATATTCTGCTTTTACATTATACTATGAAAGAGGTCATTACAGTAAAGACGAGCATGGAATTGGAAAGGAATCTAACCTTATGAGGGGAAATAAAAACCTCCTTGTGTTGAAGCCTTTAATGTTTGAACCTAATGCAACTGAAGTGCCTCATCAATCCAGTGGGATGACTGTGTACTGGCACAAAGGAGAAGGTACGAACAGGCAGAAGACACAGGCAGGGCTGTAGCAGTGACAACTTTTGTGAGTTTATACTGTTTTCAATGTGTATGTCAAATCTATTAAAATGCCATTAAATTTAAAAAAAAAAAAAGTTGAGCTGCTTCTAATCTAGGTTTAACCAGGGCCCCTGTCCATTTCACTGCAAAGCCATACAAAAGTTCATATTGCACAAAGAATAAATGTTCAGGGATGAAAACAACACCTTTCAATTGTGGTGCAAGTTCATGCTGCTGTAAATGCCTATGGAATTACCCTGCTAGAACTCAGCATCATACTGATTTTAAATGAGTTAAGACTGCAATGTTGCCAAGAGGACACATTCCCCCACACACAGCTTGTGCTGACATTCTCCTGCTTCTCTTCTCATTGCATATATTAACTTAAGAGCTGTTACAGCTGATCCAACTTACTCTATATTTACAAGAAAAAACAGTGTCAGTGCAATAGGAGAGATGGAAGCATGCAGTCAGGACAGGGAGAAGGGCAAAACAGATAGATGAACCTTGTTAAAGCAGAAGCCTTGCTTGCCTCAATGCCACAGACAGCAGTTCAACACTCTGAGCTTTAACAGGCTGGAGTATTTTCAGCAGGATGAGTTCTCTGAGCAGCCAACATTGTACAAATGAGGACACAACAACAGGCAGCAGCACTAAAAAGCCTGAAAGGAAGAAGATGGGATTGCCTTCCAGAGCACTGGCAGTTTAAATTGTCTCACAGTGTTCACTGAAGTGTACTTGTAGATTGTACACAATTGCTATTGTTAAACTGGAGAAGTTTCTCCAAGACAGATGTGCTACTTCTCAATATACATTTATCAAAACACTCTAACTTGACATCTATTTGCCCCAAAACACATAGTTTTTTCCAATAAATTAGCTGTTATAATCAAAAGATACAAGTTATTTCTCATATTCTTTCCTATAGCCTCAAAATCAAATCAGAAACTTTGACTGCTACAAGGTAAACAACGAAAGTAGTCTTGGTTACACAGTGTGGATGAATATAAATATAACGACAAATCACAAATTTCAGATCACAAACAAATCACATCAGGGTTAAAATGAAACTTTTGCTGAGTTATAATGAGATTATAACTTTTATGAGTTATAACCAAATGGTAAAGGGTAAGAAAGCCCTTCACAACACACATTACTGAAGATGGCTTGAGAGAAGTGTTTAAAGTACAAACATTGAGAACCCATCCCAATACATACAGACTGCAGATTCCTAAATGCAGAACAGAAGAATGAAAATCCAGAGCTGCAATATAAATAACCATTTTTCTGCTTAAGAGCAATTACACTTTTTTTAGGAGATGAAAGCTGCGCCCTATACATAGCTAAGAGTCTCTAAGGCTGAATAGCTGCTTTGGTTTTAGAAATCCAGAAAGAAGTTTTAGCACCCCTTCCTTTCTAAGACCATCTAGTAAACCTTCTCATTCTATCCCTGTGGCCTGTTCCTGAAGGCAGTTTCTGACTGATGTCATAGAACACATGAATGTAACAGTAATCTTATAAAAGTTGATAGACAGGAATTATCTTTCTACTGTTTCTTTTAAGTACAAAAATGAATCCTGTCCTTGAAAAAGTGCTTTTACCACTGGTGCATTACAGAAAAGTGGAATACTAACACTTTATTCTCTTCTTTAGAGTTGCAGAAAATAGGAAAACATAATCTAGAGAGGATCAGAAGTGAACCAAAATATCGTCCCGCTGTCCACATTCACGTTCAGACACTTCTATACAGGCTAGTCTATACATTATTTTTTTATTGTATTCATAATTCTACATGCACTACCTCTGAAGTAAGAGCATATAACATTCTTGATTCCACCAGAGGACAAAACAATTAGAATGTAAATGTAGCTTGTTATTATAGAAGACCTTTATTGAACCTTGCTTTTAATCTAAACTGCTATATAAATTTACAGTTTTGGAATAACTTAAACACTTTATTCAGTTCAGGAACATTTTTAGGTGAATATTTAAGCATTGTATTTCATTAAGCGAATTTTGGATTTAGTGAGAGCTGAGAAAAGTCTTAAATACTGTATCTACTTAATTTCTGCACTTACTACTGACTATGAAAGAAGACTTTATTCAGGAACAGTCATGAAAAACAGCTTAGTAGAACACTCTTTGCCCATATAATGTAAAAGAATTCTGGAACATTTACTACAATATTTACAGTCATATATGCACAATGGTAATCAGTTAAGACTCTACACTAAGAGTTTAAGACTAACTACATGCTTGCACCAAAGGCTATTAATCAATACCTCATTGTTTGACCTGGAGATGCCAAATACGTTTAACCCTATGCCTTATCATGCTGTTAACAAAAAGAATTACCACGTTGTAACTAGATATTCCTGCTGTGCTTTCAGCCCTCCAGTCAACTCCCAAGCCTTCCATGAGAACTTCATCAATGATGTCAACCTCTGACAAGTGAGTACTTAATAAATCTAAAGCTCCATTTAAAAAGTAGTTGGATAGGTAAAAAGCAACTCCCATTTCTGCACAGACAGCATGGCACTGAGATATTCATTTTTTGCACAGCAACTGGAAATTATTCTGGTGGCTGCCTGACCGCAGGTGGAGCTTTTCCAAAACAGAGCCCCGGCACTCTGAATCTCCCAAGACCACTAAGAGTTTCAGAGCTTCCAACCCAGTTATGAGTAGAACGTGTGCAGCAGGTCAGAACACTGTGAACCTGAGCTCTGACAGGCTGAGACAGCAGGCAAGGGGGCAGGTGAGCAGGGCAGAAATGAAACACGTTGCCCAGAGGGGTCAGGCAATTCCTGATGTTAGGAGGTTTCACAGTTTAGCTAGGAAAACCATCACTGACCTGATCTGAGTGTTGGTGACAGGCCCACTTCAAGTGGGAAGTTGGGTTAGATGATTTCCAGATGTCCATGACAAAGAAAACAATATCTGTTATTCTGTGAGTAGCTGCAAAGGCAGCAGATTTACCTGTGTGCAGTTGCTTAATGACAGTATCACATGATTGAATGTTCTGTTCATGTTTAGGAAGTTAGAAATGCAGCCATAAAAGTTAATATTCTATAAATATTTAAAAGCAAACCTGAATTCTGATTAAACTCATAGTTAGTTATTTTCACAAGTCACAGTTCCTTTTTTAAAATTAAATATGTATTTCTCAAACTCCACCGAAATGGCTGATTCTTCTAGACAAAATCATCTTCTACATATGTAGGTGTAAACAACCATGTGCAAATATCCATTAGTTGAATTTTTTCCAGAGAACAGGAAACATATTTTAAAAATTAATCCTAAAGGCTGCTGAAGTATTATAGTTCATTCCATGCATTGCTAGAATAAAATCAAACAAACCAAGCCATCTTTAAAACAAAGGGATTTTTTGGTCATGTTCACCTTGTGTTTTTCCAAGTAAGGTGAAATATGTTGTAGTTTTACTAATTAGGAGAAAGCTTTTTAGCTTTTTTTTTTAGCATTTAGTAAAAGTCTACAACTTTTACTCTATTTAACATTTCTTTAAAGACATGCTTGTTTGGGTTTTTAAGAGGATGTTCTTGCAGAAAACAACATCAGAGAGACTGCACCAGGAAGATCACTTCAGCAAAACAATGAGAAATAATGTATTTCATAACAGCTGTCAGAATACTCTAGATTTAAAAAAACCCTTGAGGACTCAAGCCTTTGCTAACACCTTGAACTGTGTCCAAATGAAGAATACAATTCAGGAGTTTAGGCAGAGATGTATGGTAATATTACCTCATCCACTCACATGCTGAACATCTCTACTCTGTACTAGTTGAAGCTTTTTAACTCCTAAATTCTGAAAAAGGTATACAAATAAGACAGAATAAAGAGATTTGAAGGGCCTTTACAATACTATTTTAACTCCCAAGCCTCCAAGTTCACAATTAGAAATTGTGACTGTGACTTGTTGGATCGATTTCTGTCTTTGAACTACGAGTTGGAGAACTAACGTTTGTTTGTTTAGTATTCTCCTAGATAGTGTGGAAGCTTTTCGTTATATTTCCAAGCTTGTTTTAAGAAATCTACTCATCTATTTTCCAGATCTCCGCAATCCTATGTGACATTCACACCAATTTTATACACTATGCCAGTGTATTAAAACTTTTGAGAAATACTGCCTTACCACTTGACAGCATTTTGCTGAGTGGGAGGCATTAAGCCTCACACACAATTCCACAGGCTGACACTTTAACAGGATGTGCATTTCTAACACAAAACCATACAAAAAACCCCCCAAAAACAAAAAAACCCCAAACTTGTGGCACCAAAGTAAAGCACTTGGTGAAAGCATCACAACTCCCACAGGCACAGAGATGATTACTGCACTTGCGGTAATACTATTGCAAAGTCTGAGGGTAATTTCAGCAACCAGCAAACTCCAGATAAGGCATTAGCAACTTGCACACCTTCCAGACATGTTTTATAGCTCTAACTTGCTATGCTTCTTGGACAAGTTGAGTTAATTAGTACCACCTCTATGCTAGCAGCAAACATACCACGCTGTTTTTCATCATGGCTTTAATACTGAAACCCTCACAGGCCTGCTGCTTGTCCTGCTGCTGGTCCTTCTTCTCCCGCCGCTGGGGCCGCCTGTCACCGGCGGGTTTTGAGGGACCCGGACGCCCCTCCTCCATTACCATCTCCCCACCGGCGCCCACGACGGACCAGATGCAAATAACGGACTGGAAAAAACAAGCGCACATCAGCGTCCCGAGCCCGGCGCCTCAGAGCAGGCAGCAGGTCCAGCTTCGCTCCCTCCACAGCCAGCGGCATCCTCACGGGCCGTGCCGCGCCTCCCGCGCCCCTCACAGGCCCCCTTTGCCTGCCCCCCGCCCCCAGCCCCCTTCGGCATCCTCCCAGCTCGTCCCCCCCGCACTCCGCCGCGTCCAGCCCTGCATCACCACCTGATGTCCTTGTCCCCCGGGGCGTCCTCGCCCCCGCCCGCCCGCCCGCCGCTGTCTCCCCTCCGCTGTCTCCCCTCCGCCTCGGGCCCTGCGGGTCCCTCTCGGGCTCGGTTGGGCACCTGCCGGCGCGCGCGCTCCCCCGGCCGCGCGGCCGTCGCCAGGCAACGCGTCAACAACCCGCCGGGGGAGCGGCGGGGCGATCGCGGGTAACCCCGTCGGCACCGCCCGGTCCCGCACAGCTGTACCTACCCCCGGTGCAGCGTACACCGGGGCGGCGGACAGCAATTAACGAGAAAGTCATTAGCGGTGTGTGGGGGAAAGGTGAGGCGATGACGCGCGAAGAGCGTGTGCGGGTGTGAGCCGGCCAGGAACTACGCTACCCAGAGAGCCCAGCGTGCGCCTCCACCTCCCTCACTGAGGCGCATGCGCGTTCAGGGCCGGCCCACCCCTCCGCCCGCGGTCGCGCGACCCCCCAGAGCGGCTGCGGGGGGAAGCGCTCGAGCGGGGGGCGCGGCCGGCACGTGCGCGCGCGTGCACGCGCCGCCCCCCTCCCGCCGCCGCCATGATCGGTGAGTGAGCGCGTCAGGCGCGCCCGGATGCGGGTCCGCCCTTTCCTTCCCTTTCCTTCCCTTTCCTGCCCGCCCCTCGCCTTCCGGCCCCCGCGCTGCTGCCGCCGCGGCCGCTGCTGTGGTCCCCTCTGCTGTTGTCGCCTCTGCTGTCGCGTCCGCGGCCCCGGGGAATGGCTCGGGTCGCCTCGGCTCCCGCCCGTCTCCCCCGGTGCCTCGGCAGGGCGGGGCGGGCTGGGGCTGCCCTCGGTCTGCGCCCGCTGCTTAAAGCGCCTCGGTGTTAACCACCTGCAGGAGCCGCGGGGGCCAGAGTGCTGGGAAGGGGCACTGCCCGCCTGGTTTACCCGCAGGAGAGGGGCAAAAAGTCTGGCCGGGCCTTGTGACTGAGGTCGTTTTTAAATCGCTTTTTATTCTTTCTCAGTATATTGTAAATGCTTCTCGGCAGGGTTTGTGCGATCGGCGAACTTTTTTTTGGCCTTGCCAGCATGAATACGTGTTATTAGTCTGGCGCGGTTCCTGGTGGCGACCTGCAAAAGAAGAAACTTTTGACACCTCCTGGTGTTGGGGGTGTGACCCTTTGGTCCTTGAGCTGCTTTCTGTGCCATCCAGTGCTGCTGCCAAGCGTGACTCGGTTGTTTCAGCAGTGGATTTTCCTCTCTTCCTTGAAAGATTAATCCATACCTGGGGAGTTCAGAATTACGGGATCCGTTTTGTAGCTTTCCTATTTATTACACATTTCATCTTGCTTTTACTTACTCAGTTTTGAGAATTATTTAAATTAAAACCTATAAAATGTAGTGGATGCACATGCATTTTAGCAACTTTTTGCTGTCCCCGGGCTTGCTGTTTTATCATCAGTATTGGTGTCATAGTTGCTGTCTACTTAAGATCTTATCAAGTTGAAAACTGTGCATTTAGTTGTGAAAATATTTATTGGTTTTTTTTACAAGAATGCTGTGGGTCTTTCAAGCATTCATTTTTTTTTCGTAGCAGTATATGATTGCAGGTGTATAGCTAATGTTCTTTCACCTTTGCTAAAGCTAAAAAGAAGATAATAAACAGTTGTCTGGTATTTTCACTCTGTATACATATTAATGCAAATGATCTCTTCCTAGTTGTGGAATTTTTCTTATAGGACTTTGTAATTTGAGCTACTTCTATCTGATGTGGTAGAGAACATTTTAAATTTAAGTCTTGGCTTAAGCAAAGCACAGAGGGTCGGGTGCTTTTATTTTACAATGTCATCTGCTGATCTGATGTATTGCTGTAGTATGTAAAATACATGTGTTTGCAGAACTGCAGTGTGTGTTTGTTTTTGAATCCTTCAGAAAAGTAAGTGGAGTGTACCTAAGGGACTGCCCGTGTGGTTACAGAGCTGATGCCTCTAGCTTCACACTGAAATCTAAATATTTACTTACTGCTCATGAATATAAATGCTACATGACTGAGGAATGATAATTTTATTTTCACTGTGGCAGACGGAAACATTTGTGAATATTGATTATGAAATGTACAGACCAATTAGTTGCAAATTTAAAAACGCAGCTTTACATGAGTTGGAGCTGCCCTGGTTTAACCCCAGCTGGCAGCTGAGTACCACACAGCCTCTGGCTCAGCCCCTCCTCCCTTGCCTAGCAGCAGGCAAAATAAGAACAGTTTAATAATTGAAACAGAGTAATAAAAATACTGATAAATGCTAATGATGATGATAATAGTAACGAAAATGAGAGAGAGGAATAAAACCCAAGAGAAACAAGGGACGCAGAATAAAATTGCTCACTGGTCACTGACCAATGCCCAGCCCTTCCTCCAGACCAACTCCCACCAGTGTGGTGTGGAATATCCCTGTGGCCATTTTGAGTCAGCTGTCTCCCAGTTTCTGATGCACCTCCTCACTGACAGAGCATGGAAAACTGGAAAGTCCTTGATTTGGGCTAAGCACTGTTTAGCAACAACTGAAACATCAGTGTGTTATAAACCTTATTCTCATACTAAATTTGAGATGCAGCATTGGACCACCTGCTAAGAGAAATTAACTCTATCCCAGCCAAAATCATGACACCCTCCCCCACCCCCCAGAAATAAAAGAATTTTCTTCAAACTGTGTGACGTGGAGACCCAGTCCAATATCCTGCTTTGAGAATTTGTGAAACTCTCCTCAACGCTTGCGAGCTGGGAATGCCGTATAAAAATTTGGGGGCAGGAGGGCAAGGGTGAGATAATCATCTGCCCATTTTTTAACCTGAGTATTCAAAAGAATTTTTTTCTGTGAAACACATGGTATATTTTCCAAAACTATTCACAGTTTCATATCTCTAGAAATGTCTTATGTCCTCATAAGTTAATGCCATAATATACTTGTACACATGATAATTCCTTTAATTGATTTTTAAATTTTCTATCTTCTTTCTTTTTTCTGTTTGTTTCTCACAGACCAGGTAATATAGACTTGTGCACATTCAGGTTCTTTACATAGTAATTTGAATCTGGACTGAGCTAGTTAAGTGACATAGCTTGTCATAGCTCTGCTTAGGGGCATGGTAGGTTTGGGGAGTTGTTCAAGGTGAGTTTTTTAAGTTTATTCTTTATTTTATTTATTTGCTTACCATTGGATCAGCTGAAAACTGGTGTTAGTGGAAGTGACAACCTGCAGTTGGATTGGCTGATCTATTTCTTAGTCAGTTTCCAGATGTTGTAGTTCATGACTGTCCCAGTCCTATATTTTGATCAGTGCTAAAATAATATAAAGATGGATGATCTTACAAAATAAGGATAAAAATCCATCAGGTTTATCTGATGTAGAAAAATGCATTGGTATCCTTTTGCCTGTTTTATTCTTGAGCCTGGACAAGATGGAGAAAGAATTATTGTTCACTTTTTGAAGCAGACTGAAACCTGCCTGATTGTACTAAACTGGCTTTTAAGCTGTAGCTCTTGTGTTGCATCATTTTTCTTAACCAGCATGTTCATGTCTACATTAATATTGTTAAAGCTTGTCCCAGGAGAAATTGTAGCACCAAAGTTGTTTTTTGAAGCATATGGAAATAACTGAAATATTTGCCATGATATTCCAAATTCTCTTAAGATAACTAGAGACAAAGAATCATTTGAGTTCTCCAGCTATCACTCAAATATTGAATTTGATGACAGTGAACTTAAGGGTAGAAATTAATGAAGCATTAATAATGAAACTGCCTTTTATTTCATGCCCTTGAGCAATTTGTACAGTGGTAGCTGGTATTTGTGCTGGTAAACATGCATCTTTTCTTGAACAAGGCAGTCTTATTAATGATTTCTCATAAATTCAGACAAAAGATTGCATAAATAACTTGTCACAGTTATGATGCATTAGGTACACATGGTAGCTTTATGTGGTGTCTTTTTTACAGTGGCTACATGCCTATAAAGGATAAGCCACAAAATCATCAGCAATTACTTCTCCATATATCACAATGGCTTCCAAAACAGTGGCATCGTAAATTATGTGCTTCAGAGAAATTAACTCTGCTGTTTTCCTGGGTTTTTATTTCTAACTATTTTTTTTTGTTTTTTAATAGCAGAAGCTCGCTCTTGGACTTCAGAACTATTTGAGGCTGTCTGCAGAATGTAACACCTCTATTCATGCTAGCATTTTCAATGATGGAAATTTTAAAACTCTGACTCTAAAACTATTCAAAAGCTTTCATGCCCTCTGATAATCTCTGAAGTTATAACATTATATGTCAGTATTTTCTTCTCCATTTACCTTTGAAATAGGGAAAACAATGACAATGATATAGACATATCTAAAAAGTATGATGGGTCATTGCCCATTAAACATGTCCAAAATAAATTGTCTGGATCCTGCAGTTTTTACCATACCTTTTGGCTGTATTCCTGTTCTGATTGTTGAGGAAGACTTGATTTTCTATCCTTGGCTGGTTTGAGCTAAGTTGAAGTTACGAAAGGCAGGTGGTTACCAAGTGAACATTTTCACTTAATAGCAAGTGCCTTGTTATTAATGTCTTCCCTTTTTAACCCTGATTTTGGAAATCTGACCTATGGAATTGTGGTCTTGTTTGTGCTTTGTTTTATTCCATGGGTTTTATTCTTCTTTCAACATTTCCTTATGATTTGTGGACACAGTTTGTTTTTAACTCGAAGCTCTAAGCCTAGACCCCTCAGCCAAGAAATGAAAAAAGAAAAGGATTAAGAAGTTGATTTATTGTTAAGGAATTTCTGAAGCTGATAAAGATGAATGAATATCCTAATTGAGGAAAGAGCTTGTCATTACATGGCGGTTTAAAGGACAGCAAGGTTATAATGTATTAATGTGTAGAAAATGGAAGTACAGCTTTTTAGAGAGCAGTTGCAATCAAAAGCTGTTGGTTGTGCTGTTTTTTGTGAGGATGGTATGAACAATGTATTTGTTGCCACAAAAGTTGGACATCCTCCTTTGCTTTAGTTTATCTGCTGAGAGTGGGATTTTGTGTACTATGTAAAAGTAGGCTTGTGCACTAAGCTTGATGTTGATGACATAGAAGGACACTGAAGCAAATTCATTTGCATTTGTAAATTGTTTGCGATACATGAAAACCACAAACAAAAAACCAAAGTTGTCTTTCCAGTAACAAAAATGTTCTTGCTTTGTACACCACTGTTGTGATGATTAGTG